ACCTCGTGTAAGCTTATCAAGAAAGAATACATATTGATTAATCACACCGAGGTTTAGGGAAGGTCGGTTTCGAAATATCTATGCCAAGTTTTATAGAAAGTCGGTCTTTTGTTTTGACTTCTATTTATCCTTCAATAGTATAGAATTAGTGACACTATTTCTGTACTGTGATTTTTTCTCCAGGATTGAGAAAGTTGTAATGGATTAATCGGGCTACGACTGCAAGTAATAACCACATCCCTGTTTAGGAGCTTTTTCTCTGTTAATCCACTGCGATAAAGGTCGTCGGTTGTCATGTGAGACTTTGTTTTCACTGTGCTTCACAATGCCACAAAGAAATAGGCCATTTTTAACGCACAAAAGAAGCGGAGAGCAAACTTCACAACAGCGACCAGCTTCTTCTAATCGCTTCCTGTAACACTTCATCTCTCCTTTCCATTGTCTTTCAAACAACGAACTGTTATTATGTAACGACGAGTTCCTCCATAACTTAGCGAGTATTTTTTGGAAGGTTAACTTTGATTATCATCTCCAGGTGGTAGTAGTCTGCTGCGGCCCGCCACATTTTCCTTCATCAAGACTCATGTTTCCGCTGGGGAACCTTTCAGAAAAGGAGCGCTTCCTTAATGAATACTATATTGAGACTTAGAATTCAGAATTCTGCAATGGCGCATCCAAGTTTGAACCTATGAAGCAAAATGCTGCGATTTTATTGTCTTGAGGGTATCATTTTTCGATCAATGAAAGTCATTATAAATCAGTCATTGTATTACATAGCAAAATTACAAGGAAAAAAGGAAAAAGGAAAAATGGTTATCAGGCAGTAGATAAGCTTTGAAATCACATTCAGGAGCATTAACCAATTAACATTTAGTACAAAAAGTATTTATAAAGTTCAAAACAATAATTCTGCACTACGCTGACAGTTTTTAATATCGCCGTAGTTTTCACTATATGTGAGTTACCGTGTTGATTTCAGATGATCTCAAGGCGGCCATAAATTCTGATATTCTGAAAGCTAGAGAGGAAATGGAAAGAATCGATATGTCTTCCTTAACTCACCAGTTTTTTATCTGAGGCTGAATTGCCAATCTGGAAAATGTGAGCGCATTCAGCGCGTCGGCTGATGTAGTCCGAACTCTATTGATGACCTAACTGGATCACTTAAGCAATAGGAAACTACTTTTATAACTGTTAGGATAATTGTCTTACCTTTCACCCTCTTCAGCTATGGTGTTAAAACTGGTGAACGTGTTGATTACCTTGCTTGACCGGGTATAGTGTTTAGATGAAGGTTGAAAGGTAAAACGTTTAAGATGTAAGGTTTTAGAGAGGTTTTAGAAAAGCTTTGAGACGCATGCTTCCAGCCATACTGACATGCATAATTGTTTGTATATTAAACCGCCATTTTTCCATAATTGTTATGTATGGTTTTTGTTTCAACCGGCCAGTGACGTGGAATTCCCATCGGCTGTGTTATTCTCTTGGCATAAATTATGCTCATTACAGGTCAAATTATACTATTGGAATAAAGTTTGTGTCGAGTTTGTATGTTACTGTGAATTGTTATCAGAAGTTTAATTTCTATAACCGCTGTTTAATTCGGCACTATTCGTAGTATCGTACGTATACCTAAGTGCATATTTGACCCGTACAGTGGCTAGCATTGAAGTGTTTTTGCACTCCAGACAAATCTGGCACTAGTTTGTCCACGCTGGAGGAATGGAAGGCTTGGTTTATCCACAATATAGGATCGTACTACCGACTACTTTTTTATCGCAAGGCATCTTTAACCACCGCGGTAGACATAAAAATGAAGATAAGACGTCCGGCGTTGGTCAATCCTTAAGGGTGCGCCGTGCATTCACCGTTATCATTTACGGTTACTGGTGATTGAATACTTCTCTGGGCTACTCAGTTATTTGCGATGGATGGCCTACCGATGTATCAAGTACGTCCCGATCCTCAAGCAACTCTACTACCATGTTTCCCTCCACGAAAAGATGGCTTGTTGAGCATAGGGTGCTGGATCAGACCATTGACGTGTGTATTGAACTTAACCTCATACCATTATGATACGTGCGCCTACGTGTGCCCACAAGCATATTCAATGGGAATCATGTTTTTTAAGCCATTTCTTTCTGGCCTAATATTTTTTGCTTGAATACAGATACATTGGAGATGACATTATTATGGTTTGTTTCTATATCTGTGATATTTGATATACATGTAAAACTGAAGCTCACGAGTAACAGAATGCTGGCTTCAACTGAGTAAAAGTGCCGAAATGCCATAGGCTCATATTCGTCATCGCTCAAACTTCTCCAAAGAAGTCAACTAGCGAGTGATAGGAAGAATTTACAATCTTAACCTTTTTATTTACTGCCTATTCTTTATAACGGCAGGGTATGTTGCGATATATAAGTTCCATAATGCTGAGATATTTGCAAAACTCCGGACCTCAGGTGTCTGCGGTGGGGAACGAACGCGCTATTGTCCCTTCCAGAGAATAACGCGTTCACCACCACACCATGCGGGTCCTTCGTTTCGCCTGTCTCTCAGCTCGTTCTATCGATCTTTTGCCATCAGCAATCACCCACCGTCAACGAGATATCGATAGAACTAGCTGAGAGACAGGCGAAACGGAGGACGCGCATAGTGTAGTGGTGAACGCGTTACTCCCCAGAAAGGACACTAGCGCGTTCGCACCTGCGGTCCGAAGTTTTACAAATATGTCAGCATTATAGAAGAAAGAATTTACTTCTTAGTTTCTTAGTTTTTCTTACGAACGAAAAGAAAAGTCAGCATTGAATGAGATTTAGCTGACTATCTATGATGCTGCGAATCTGGACTTTATCGTCATTGTTGCAGTACCAGCATAGAAACCACTTAATTAACTCAATTAAAAAACCCATTAAATTTCATTTGGGATGCCTGAATTGTTAACTTATCATTTATAAAGCATTAACAAACTAAGTGTATTGAATCATCAAAGATGGTTAGCGTGGCCAAATGCTCGTGACCAATCATGATCAGGTCCGATAAAATTTCATCCGTTAACATTTAAAATTTACAAATGAGGGCAAGTTGGGTAGGTCCACAACACGAGACCACGACAACCGTGTACAATGTTGTGGCTGTTGAAGAGTACAACTTCGCAAGTATTGTCAAATGTTACTCGTGCATCGTAGTAAATTTTCTAGCTAATGGCATATATGGATAGTCTTATCACAGAACATTTGGTACGCTATAAACCTGTCACTGATAACGATGGAATGGGAATCTTCAGCAAAAGCAATGTGATTGCATGCTGCATGTCGTTTTCTACAACGATCTCACTCGTTTCGTTAATACTTCGACTGTCGTCAGGTATTGCGATAAAAGGATGAAAAAGGATAAAACTCTCAGCGTTGAACAATCCCTGAGGCGCCATGCATTCGACTTCATTAAGCATCGTTTGGGGTTGATTGAATGCGTATCTAGCCTTTAACTAACTCGCGGTGGCCTAACGATATATAGAGTCAGTGCTACAATTCTCCCAGACAAGTCTGGTACCAACTGGCCGACCCCAGAGTAATGGAAGGCTCGGTGGCCATGGGCGCGAAGAACGATTCTACGTGTGTTGCAGGACGCCTCTGACCCCTGCGCCACACCTTATCAGCAGTGATTTTTCATTATCATCCGAGTAATTGATGAAGTAATTGCTCACAACTTTCGTCAACTCCGATTCAGCGAGTAAAGAATGTCGCCGCTAATTAAATCCCACCGCTTTTTCAATATGATTCCCACGGTAACCAACGAGCGGCAAATGGAACTAATATTGAAACGTCATCCTTAGGAGATTTAAACACCCCGACTTCCCGCTCTCCTCCCTCCTCTAAGTAAAAAATTAGAATGATGACCATTTTAAACGACATAACGGTGGAAAACATTCGTAAGAAGCACAAAGTGCTCGGGATTGACCAACTCGAGGGATGTGCTATGCATTCCACTTCATCAGGCATGATAAAAGGGTTGAATGCATATCTCTATATTAGTTCACTGATGCCATTCTTTCAGAAAATTGGTATCAGTTTACTGACCTTGGAGGGATGGAGGGCTCAGTGAGCCTGGGGTGCGTGATCGAACCAACGTTCACGTGTGCATTACAGAGCACCTTTATCAACTAATCTATATGTGCCCTTTAAAGCGTGTGTACTAAAGACAATCCAGCTCTTTTTTTTGTAAGTTGTATATTGAACAATGACGAAAAACTGCATATAATTATTGTAATAACCGTAAGACAACATTGAAAACGATGACAAGAGAGTCGTTAAAAAACAAATGGTGGCATACGAAGACACGAGATCACAAATGTTGTGAGATTTTAGTAAAGCAGGGGACTACTTTCCCACAGAATATAGTGATCGCAGTTAGATATAAGGGATTCATCGGAGGATACGGAGGAGCGGAATGAGAGCTACACAGCTGGAAAAGAATGGTACACTAGGATAGAATCAGGAGCAAATACTTGATAAGAAATCTTAATTAGTTTATTTATACAGCCCACATCAGCGTCACTGTTACCCGCTGACGTTCCTTGAAGGTGTGTCCTTACCTCATGACGATTGTAAAGAGACATCTGAATCGATTCCCAACGATTAACATAATCCCATACTTTTAAGATTTTTTGCAATAATCATATCGAGACAAGCATCCAATACAAATTGGACGTTGTTGGTATCGGTAGCACATGTATGATGGCAGTAGATTTCTCGTTGAGACGATCTGGAAGTTACGTACAATAGTTGTATACGATACAAACTAATACACAGTGATCATTTCGCCGGAAGTTGTTCAACTTTTTTTGACATTACGATCAACTAGCATAGCCATTCCATTCCATCCTTCATTTAGCAGCTTATCAGGCCACATTTAGTGCAGGTACGATTACAGGTCAAGTCTCAGGAAAAAAAGCAGAAATTAAGGGATCTGATGCTGAGTGACCTTTTCAGCATACTTTCCCAGATTCTCATCCTTCTGCAGATTAACTTAGCACATATTCTCCTAATATCCGCCTTATTATTAAGGTTATGTCAACAAATGGAGGAAAACTGGAACTCAGTATTACAAGCAGATTTAGGAGTCTACCTGTTTAGTTGTTCGAATTTCCACTGAATATAGTTGATGCATTCTGTTTGGTTTTGTTGACCTTTATACTCTGGGAAACAGATGGTCAATGGGCTACGTTGGATTTTCTCAGCAAACAAATCCTTTTTGTTGAGGAACAAGATGAAGTGAATGTCAGCAAACCAGGGGCTATTGCATATAGAATCGAAAAGCTTAAGAGATTCTTGCATGCGATTCTGAAAGAACAAAATATTTCTCAAATGTTTCATCATCAAGGAATACACACAGATCCATCACTACTAAATCAAGTGTGGAATTAAAACTACACGAAAATTACTGATTGATGAGCATACATGAACGACATACCGTACAATTATCCTCTCTTAGTGTTTGGTCATATTCCGACAGAGAACTAATGAAAATAATCGCATTTACATTGTCGAAACAATGGATCCATTTCTTCCTTTCCGACCGCTGACCACCAACATCAATAACCCTGTGAACAGCAAAATTACCTTCTGATAAGGTTCAAACCATTTTAAACAATTCACTTGGTACAAAATAAGACATAAAGAAGGATAAAGGATAAAGCTCTCGACGTTAATCAATCCCTGACGGATGCGCCATGCATTCGATTTCATTTAAGTATCGTTGGAGGTGATTGAATGCATAACTGGCCTTTACTCGCGGTGGCCGACCGATTATCGATCCAGTGCTACTATCCTCCCAGACAAGTGTGGTATCAATTTGCCGACACCGGAGGGATGAATGGAAGGCTTGGTGGGCCATGCGCGCGGGGATCGATTCCACGTGTGTGTCGCAGTGGCGCTCCCAACCACTGCTCTACACGCGCTGAATAAGGCATATGTAAAATAATGTCATATGAGATGGGGCAGGATAAGAAGGAAGTTGTAGTCTTTGAGTTCAAAGATAATGGAGTCGAAAATATAAATACCTAAATGTAAGTCCTTTAAGTTCGAACAACACTTCAGTAATACCCGTCGTTTTTATTCGTGTCCGCAGTAAATCCTGTTCACTTGGAATGTAATTCAGTGACGAAAGCCGAGGCAAATTATCCAGAAAACTGAATGACACTCCATATAAGCGAGAACGAAACAAAGTTACAAGCATATTTGCGGTTCATATCGAAAAACGCAACAATGACTGCTTACAGTCTTTTCTTTCATCGTAACAGATAAGGCTTTATTAAAAACTAATTTCGGTATGGCTCTAGCACTTTAATGGTCCACTTATAAGTCCGAACTTAGTTGTAAACAACAGATATGACGATACTCGTTTGCAGAAAACCTACTGTAGAGAGTTACACCAGCACAAGTGAACACATACCTTATCATCACTCTATTTTAAGACATTTACTTACTATTTAGCACTGTCGTCTATTTGATATTCGTTACTACGTTGATAACATTCCCGTACGCCTTCATCTGCCCATAACCGTTGCATAGCTGCCGCCAGTTCCTCAGTTAGTTCTTCCTTGTTCGCGTGCACTGTTGCGAATACCAGCTGACTATCACGCTTAAGAATTCATTTCCTTAGCGAACGGGCTTCTTACGTAGTCTTTGAATATTTAGCTCCACTTAGAACACTTCGAAGAACAGTAGAAGTAGAGAAACATGCTTCTAAGACTTATATATGTAAATTTCACCTTATTCGAAACTTATACGAAACTACCGTACCACTCGTTCACTGTCGGCATATTCAATCTGCAGATGAAACATTGCGCGTAATATAGCAAGCATTGAGTGAATACAATTAGAGTACACTACTGGACGAATCATCTCCAGATCTTGTTGTGAGAAACCGTCCTAAACATCTTACTTGGGGCTGGGATCAAGTCATGAAAAGTAAAAGAATTAAAGATTCACAAGGTTTAATGATGAACACAAGTAATATGAACTTAATACTCAACCTTGTGCAATATTCGCATTTGCTTTAAAATTGTGCTTTTTCCACTTTCACCAGCTCCTAAAAGAACAGAACTAAAATCTGACAGTAAACTATTCATAACAATATTTTGTGTTCGAGGAATCTTATCGGCTGTTCTGTTATTTTTACAACTCAATTACAATCACAATTCAAAAATACAGCAAGCTATCGTTAGATATGGGTAAGAAAACGATGACATAAGACGAGATGCTGTAAATCAGTGATCTTTGCAGAACGGAGTAAAGCAAATTTGGAAATGCAAATATGTGTATGTGTGTGGGTGTGTGTGTGTCTACGGCTCTGGAAAGAGTGCGTGTTAGCCGTCAATGAATGCCATCTCTATCGGATAACTCGAATAACATTACAACTAGACGAGCTGAATACCATAACACAGCTGTTTACTTTTAGATATTTTTAGTAAGGAATCTGCTAGAAGATGACTAGCATAAAGCAGAGATGAGTAAGTGCAAATAGTAATGAGAACACTTTTGTAATCATCCAGATTGAACCACTATTACGAATACGTATGGTCATCACGAAGTTAGAAGCTGCGTACATGCATTGGTTCGAGGCGTCCTGCAATAGACACATTGTTTTCAGTTCCCAGGATCGACTTTCTATTAACCTCGGCATTGGAATATGAATGCGTCGTTCTCTTGTTCAGCAATCGCGAGGTTGTTAAACAGCATGCATTTACTTAGGGAAACACAACGAATACAACAGTAACTGTCGTCTCAGCAGTATCGCCTTCTCCAGAGCCGCTTTCTACGTGACATCCAATGAGGAAGAATAGAACATTATTATATACATATAGGCCATAAAAAACATATAAAACATTATATATTAATAATATCAATAATGATATACGACTATAATCAGCTGTTCTAATCTTCCTCATTGGAAGTCACGTAAAAAGCTGCTCTGAAGAAGGCGATACTGCCGAAACGTCAGCCATTGTTCTATTGTATTGTGTTTTACTATGGAAGTAAATGTATGCTGTTCAACAACCTCGCCATTGCTGAACAAGAAAACGACGAATACACCGTTTTCAGTTCAAGCTTACGCACTAGGCCAGATAAGCCCCCATCTTCCTGAAGTCAGCAAATTGCTTTTAGACCACTCCGGAGGCGTAAGAAAAACACCGAGATGACATGTCAGTAGGCCTTCATGAGTAACTATCTATGCCAAGTATGCATTAAATCACCTTTACAACGTTACGAACGGAGTCGAATACACGACGATTTGCCGTGATTGAACGCTTTATCCTTTATGTTTTTATATGGAGGGATGTACACTACAAAATCAATCGTTGATGTTCGCCTCTTTTGAAGCCGATTCAATTGATGATCAGACTCCTCTTGCTACTGTAGCCACGGCAGTTTGGTGTCACCAGTGGTTACAGAAAAAATAGGCAACACCAAGAATCCAAATCCGTTGCCTCGAACTCGGAACTACTTTATAGCATTTTAGAAAGTTTTAGACTTTCATTTAACCTCGGGATAAATAATCGACGTTTTCCTACTTCACACAGCTTACACGAGATGGTTAAGAAAACTTTGTTGTGGCGAATATTTCGGTGCGCTCTCCTTATTCAGAGTTGCAGTGACATTCTTTTTTTACTTTCCAATTTCTACTGAATTTCTTCCTTGTAACACTTCGTGCATTCGTCTTCAGGAATCAATAACGTCGTCTTAGCCGCAGTGAGAAAACAATTAGCCACAACGCGAGGTAAGCAACTTCGTTTGTTCGATGGCTTTCCGACGAGCTGCAGCTCATTAATTTGATCTGGTGGTACATCCGTCAACGAATTCCTTCATCACATCACAAGCAATCAAATGTTATAAGACACGAAAGCTACGATAATAATCAGCGCAGCTATGAATTGTTCTCCGATGAGGAGCTCAGTTATTGCTACGAAGAACTAAATTCATTGACATCGTGATACCGCTTCATATTTTCCCGATATGAGCAGACTTATGGGTGATATCGATCTGAGAAAGGTGTTTTGGAGCTCTAGTAAGAACAAAACCTGATCCAACATAAAAGAAATTTGACACCAAATTCATGCAATCAAACCTGAATACTGAGATAACATAGTGGCTTCTAGGATTTCTATAGTTAGCCCATTCAAATGTGACTACTACACTTGGTTTCTTTTCCAAAGTATGAAGAAAAAATATCGTCATAATACGAGTGGGATAAAAGAGGTTTTGAATGGATGTTTTTCTAAGCTTCCCCATATTCGAGACAGCTGAATGAACACGGAGCTAACGAGGACCTGATGATGTAGCAAAAATGTCACTTGTCCTCGTCTTAATTACTTTGGAAGCTCCTCGGTTATAAGCTTTTTTAGGCTCGACGGATGATCAAATACTTATTCCCATCGTTTATGCAAGTTACTGTATTCTGAATCCTACTGTAATGTTACGGTGGAACTTCAACAGCGCTATAGTGTAGAAAGAAAACCATGGATTTCCATAAACTACAAGTTTTCTATAACTTCTGAAATGATTTCCTATTAACCAATACTTCACAAAGAAAAAAACGTTTTCGCGCCAAATTTTACAACTAACCGAAAAACGACCTCATACCATTAGAAAAGAAAACCAGGAAAGTTATTGTATGTGGTGTATTGAACCAACTGTGAATGATTTTATGAAGCAGCAACGTCCTACACCTAGAAATTACGTCGAAGGCAGACGTTTGCGACGAGAAATTTTTTAGCTAGCTGGATACTTCTGTAGTTGGGTGGGCCTGTCCTCACTGGTTGTGCGGGCCCGAGCATAATTTCCACTTTCTCGGAGTTCCGCTGGTTTAGCCAATGTGGTTCCTCGGAATTCCGAGGTCAGGCAGGCCAAAGTCTGCCCCGGGTCTTCACCACCACAGGTAGTCGCCGTCCTTGTGGATAAGAGTGAGATTTGTCAACATGCGAATAGTTTGGTAGCAGGAAGGTAACGGATTCTTTTATTGATCTACTCTTAGCTGAGCTTCCTGACAGCAACACCGGACTCCTTCTCAGGTTGGTAGACTCTACCAGGGAAATCAATCTCCCGTTGTACATCGCAGCCCGACACCCAAGAACACCTTCCAGCCACTATGAGGTGGTAAACTGTTAGGACGAATTTTTTAAGCAGTAGAACTAAATCATTACAGGAGACAGCACCGCGCTACATATGATCATGCAGTAGTAACACCACTGAATTATGGTTTTCTGAGAAATACCGTACACAAGTCATCTGGTAGCGTATCGGATCGAATTAAATCTGGCCATTGGATACCGTAACCTCAAAATTAGAAGGAAAGAAGACTACGCATGTAACAGTATAGATAGAAGCCAGTATATTTGTTTAGACCCGTTTTGTTTGAATCAGCAACTGCCTGCAAATCAGGCGGAACTTTCGCGGAAATTCGGTCAACGGAAGAAGTTAAGCCTAGTCGTAATCGACTTATTCGTCACAAAAACGATAAAATAACTTGGCAGAATCTCATTTCTTCACGGAAAGAACCAATGTAAACTTGTGCACAAGCAAAAATATATGAAAAGGAAAACAATTTTTGTTCCCTTTTGCCCCCCTAATTATGATCGACGGCAATACGTCCCCGATAGTGTTCATAGTCAGAGCAGAAGCGTCCTATGTCTACACATGAGATGACTGCCTGCTTCATCATTAGTATTGATTAGATTATTAGGTAATAACCATTATAGGAATTATACAGATATATTTTTTTCTATTCAAAAGAACACGTACATTTCACGGAACAAATTAAGAAACGTCTTCGTAGAATCAATCACAAGATATTCCTAATGTGCTCCTTATCACTTGCAGAATTTGTTGTAAAAAAATGTTCTTATAAACTTGCTTCATGTTCACAAAGAGAAACAACATGTACAAATTCGAGTTCATTGTTTTCAAAGGAAAATGTGATAGGAATGATATCTTCGATGTAATAGCATAGGCAATCAACTATAATGTGGAAATGAGACGTCATAAATAATAAAGGATAAAGCTCGGCGTTGATCAATCCCTGAGGGATGCACCACGCATTGGATTTCACTAGGTATCGTTGGATGTCATTGAATGCATATCCGGCCTTTACAATGACTCGCGGTGGCCTACCGATGTATCGAGCTATTGCTTCTATCCCCCCAGACAAGTCTGGTACCAATTTGCCGACCTCGAAGGGATGGAAGGCTTCGTGGGTCATTGGCGCGTCGACTCCACGCGTGTGTCGCAGTAGCGCCTCCAACCACTGCGCCACACGCGCCTGTGAGACATCATAGAGATATTAATTAGCAATTCAGGCCAACTCAAAGCTCTGTACACTAAAAGTCACTACGTCGTCTTATATGTCGTAGAGAAAAAACACGTATCTTAAACGCTCTACCCATTAAAAATGCACAGGAGAAAAAAACCGCACGATTATCAAATTTAAAATCATAGCCCTCACGTATAAAATGCTCGTACAGTTAAAAAAAACCCAGAATTCTTCTTTGTGATGTGATTGAAGTACCAGGTCTAATCACAGTTCCACTCGTTCGTCATTGTCCACGCCAACTTGCAGAAACATTGAGATGTTTCGAAGAACAGAAAGCAAAATTCCTACACTTTTTGAAGATAAGAATGCAGTGAAGACCATCCAACTGGAGAACAGACTACTAACGATAATAATGACAAGGAAGGAAAACGAAATGAAATTTTCAAAATTTTCCTTCTTTTCGGTAAAAGCTCAAAAACTCTAAAGCTCTCGGCGTTGATCAATCTCTGAGGGATGTGCCATGCATTCGGCTTCATTAAGTATCGTTGGAGGTGACTGAATGCATATCTGGCCTTTACTCGTGGTGGCCTACTGACGTATCGAGCCACTGCTGCTATCCTCCCAGACAAGTCTGGTACTAATTTGCCGATCCTGGAAGGATGGATGGAGGACTTGATGGGCCATGGAGGCGGGGATCGACTCCACGTGTGTGTTGCAGTGGCGCCTTCAACCATTGCGCCATACGCGCCCTTTTTCCTTTCGGTAGAAAAAATTCCTTAATATAGCCATCTATCGAAAAAAGTAAAATGTGAAACACTTCCGCCTGATAGATATACAGAACTTGTTACTGACTGACGATAGAACACAGGAAAATTCCAAGGCGAAAAATTTTGTTAAGGTTGAATGAAATTATCACTACTATTGTTGATAGTACTATTTACCAAACAATTGGAACTACTATGTACATGAATGAGATTCCGCAATCAATGAAAATTATCCAATTAGGTGGGTGTTACCGTTTACTGAAGTTAATCACTATATCAACAACGCTTTGATATCAAAGGGTACCATAAAAGCCTCGTAACACTTTATTACAACTAAGAACTGATGTAAGTGATACGGTAGTATGACATCAAGAAGAAGAAGAAGGATGACATTAAGAGAGATAACGTTGAGCTGATGTTTTAGTATTTTGTTCTATTTGTCGTGATAAGAAACGATTGTGGAGTGAGTGTAATGGATTCCCAAAGGACGAGTTGCGATAAAATGAATGAGATCGAGTTCCGACACCATGTGGTCTCACACGCGCGGAATGAGTGAATAAGTGAGAACGAATACTTTGGAACGAATGGAAATGAAGCAGAAGTTCTGCAAAGTGAATAAAAAAAAACAGGGGTACACACACTCACACGCGTACACATACACTACGAAATTAAACGTACCTAGCAATAGAAGCTTAATGATTCGTAGCGACATTGACTGATCCTTCTTGATCTGTTCATCAATGCGTCGATTTAGGCGTTTGCCTTCTTTCTGATCCTTACTTGTACAATGACCCATATTCGGCAACTATAGTACACACGGATACTCTGGGCAATACCGTAGCCCTGAGCGCACAGCAGTTGCTGATGGAATTCACCAGCAGCGCGAGGTGCTCCAGCTGGCGAGCTCGGATCGCTGCTGTCACTGGCCGTGTCTCTCGTCGTGTTCTATCCCCGGCCGCCCTCGCCTCCACCTCTCCGTCTCACACACGCTCCTTCGGCCGCCGGCGTTTGTTAGGTCGCCGACGGCGTCGGCGGTAGGTGGCGACGGCAGACTTCGTCCGCATGCGGACATCGCAGGCGGCAGACTTCGTCCACATGCGGAGATCGTCCGCCGCCACCGCTGCCGCCTGTTTCAATTCCTCGGCGAGCTTCTCCCTCCGTCCGTCCGTCCTTTGTTGCTCTCATCGTGGTGGCGGCTTCATCTGCGTCACACCGTTGGATCGATAACGGCTAGTGCATCTAGTGTGGTTTAGCAAATTATTGACAACTAGTCGCCAAGAACTAGTGAGTAAGAGTAGTGTTGGTGTCACGAATCTTAATGTCACGACGCAGCATAAGGCACCTTCCACCGTATGAACATTGCTCGTGTGTGTGGAATGCTATTGATAATTGTTTGGCGATCAGAAAGTGGAAGCAATAATCTTCTAATACTCAGCGTACTAAACGTCAAGATTCACTCTCTTCATTTGGCTTGGTGAGCATTCGTTGTCCAATCAGAAAGCCTAAGAAAGGGATTCTAACAGAATGGATGCTAGGCTCTCCTCTATTTTGATTCTACATCCCATTAGCGGCAAATTGATTAGGCATCATAACTTCGAAAGTGGCTATCAACTCTCACTGGCTTCAGTTTTCGATAACTGCGGATTTCAATCAGTTCTAGCTGTTGTTCATTGCAATTGTATTAGATTTCAGCACACTTCGTATCCACCTTGTCACAAAGAACTTTCTTGACGTGTTTCAATTTTTGATCTTTAGTCCAACATACCAGTATTGTTTTCATAAAGTATTTGGTCACTTACATCACCTTCTCGTCTGGTGGTTTACCATCTCACCGCTGGTGTATAGTGTTTCTGTTTATGTGATAAACACCTGAGAAGTTCAACGTTTTCATTCACAAGTCCAAATAATAGTACACTAATGTTCCAGAAGCTACCGTTGTTCCAGTAGCACTGGTAAGGTTGCAAATCTCTTTTGAATGCACAAGGGACGGCAGCTCTTTATGGTGGCTATTTGGGAAACGCATGGAATTGGTATCATGAGATTTCAGGAAAAGAAAATCTTGTTTGGCTAGCAAGCTGTCAATTAAGCAAAAATTTTACAGAGGCTGTAACGGCTGTTTGTGAAGGCAAATCATCTGAGTACCAAGTATGTAAAAAAAAAAAAGAGTAAAACCTTCAAAGTTGATCATTCCCTGAGGAATGCCCCTTTTATTCGGCATCATGAAACATCTCAGAGATGATTGAATGCACGTCTCCTCTAGCAATGGCTTTTGGTGGCCTAGCGATGTATCGAGTATTTCTACTATCCTCCCGGACAAGTCTGGTACCAATTTGTCCACCCCGGAAGGATGAAAGGCTTGATGATACCCTGCATCAAGTAGAAATCACCTCGGGTCCCGTTAATTTGCAAAATTGAAAGAGCACCTGCAAATCTCCCATTCGCTCTTATCGCAATTCAGAGGCGTTCAGTGAGCTCCTCTTATTTATATGAATGAAAAAAGCGATCTAAATCAGATCCCTTTATTTTTATTTTATTGGCGATGAAGTAACTACGGGTAGCTCAGGTGGGATAGGAACGCTTTTGGTTGAGCTTCCAGATTGAATATGTTGATCTTCAGCTCTGGTGACCGCACTAGGTAGAATAAAGCTCTGCTGCACTTTACATTCGAACACCCGAAACACCTCACATGCCTGATGACGCAGTATTCAATTGGGTGAGGGGGGAGTGGGGAAGAGGTGATTTATTTGATTATTTGTCACCTACTTCACCTGCCCTCCCGTTGACTGTTGAGTGACTCAAGCCAACGCCAGTAAAGTCTTCACTTTTCCTCTTAGGGCTGAGAGTAGCTCAGTAAGTTCTACTCTCTCTAGGAACTCGCTGAAGTGATCTGCCGCCTGTGCATTTGACATGGCGAGGAATCCATCCAGTAGCGGCTCTTGACCACTGGTTGTCGTTAAGCCGCATTATGTACCTAGTCCAACAGATTTCCGACATTTTAGCTTGCACGACGACCTCTCTGATTCTTGAGCGTTGACGTATATATCAGGTAAGGATTTACTCCCTTAACTGTGTGATACGGGCTAATCCCAATGCCGCCTTCTCTTACTCTCTCGTAGATATCGCCTTGTCGAGTTTCAGTCGAAGCCAAATATCTCCACAGAGGGTGAAAAAATCAACTAGCATTCGTTCCACCTGCCTAATGTTTCATTTTATAAGAACGACGTTATCATCAGAGAAAGCATTAGTTCCCCACTATCGATTTTAACCTCCGTGTTATTTATTTAGATACTCAGGCGACCCGTCTTCACTGGTTGTGCTGGCACCTGCATAATTTCCATCCTCCGGAGAATTTTTAGTTTTGAAACTGTGGTTTACTGGAATTCCAAGGCCTGCCTAGGAGAAGCATTCCTCAGGTCGTCACCACTCCAGGTAGTCTCCGCCGTTGTGGATCACATAGATTTGCCTCTACGCTGCTAGTCTGACACCAGGATGGTGGTGAATTGAATTCTAGTTTTGGTTTACTCTTAGTTATGCTTCAGTAGAGAAAAGTGGAACCTCTAAGCTTGGGAGGCCCGCTATATATCGCAGCCCCACAACCAGGAACATGTCCTAGACACGATGAGGTGGTAAAGCATCGGAAGGACTTCCGTGTTATCATATTCCAATTTTAGCGTAATGTTCTCGAGCGTATTTAAAATTTTACTTTGCAATTATTCTTTTTTCATGGCCGGGTATGGTGTGAAATAGAACTGTAGGGATGCTGAGAAGTGTGCAAAACCCACCTCAGGTGGGCTTCGAAAAAACGACTACTATTACTACGGATTGCGCGCTATCTGCAGACTAGCCGAGGTCTTTGTTTTGCCGTTCTCTTAACCACGTCTTTTTTCTTCCTCTAACGCAGTTGCAAAGAAAATCAAAAAAGAGAAACGATAACTGACCAAGTTAACAGAACGTTGCTGAGATATTTGCAAAACTCTGGACCGCAGGTGTCTATGGTGGGGAACGAACGCGCTATTGTCCTTTCCGGGG